AACCCAGACCGGACTTTTCCTGGAGTTGGGAATGGGGGAAAACCCGGACCGGACTTTTCCTGGAGTCAGCAATGGGGGAAAACCCAGACTGGATTTCGGCCTGGGTCAGCAATGGGGGAAAAGCTGGACCAGACTGTTCTTGGAGTCGGGAATGGGGGAAAACCCAGACTGGATTTCGGCCAGAGTTGGGAATGGGGGAAAACCTGGACTGAATTTCGGCCGGAGTCGGCAATGGGAGAAAACCCGGAATGGATTTCGGGCAGAGTCAGGAATGGGGGAAAACCTGGACCAAATTTCGGCCGGAGTCAGGAATGGGGGAAAACCCGGACTGGATTTTGGCTGGAGTCGGGAATGGGGTAAAACCCGGACTGGATTTCGGCCAGAGCTGGCAATGGGGGAAAACCCAGACTGGATTTTGGCTGGAGTCGGGAACGGGGGGAAAACCCAGATCAGACTTTTCTTGGAGTTAGAAATGGGGGAAAAGCTGGACTGGACTTTTCTTGGAGTCAGGAATGGGGGAAAACCCGGATGGGACTTTTCCTGGAGTCAGGAATGGGGGAAAACCCAGACCGGACTTTTCTTGGAGTCAGGAATGGGGGAAAACCCGGATCGGACTTTTCCTGGAGTCAGGAATGGGGGAAAACCCAGACTGGACTTTTCCTGGAGTCAGGAATGGGGTAAAACCCGGACCAGACTTTTCCTGGAGGCGGGAATGGGGGAAAACCCGGACTGGATTTTGGCCTGGGTCAGCAATGGGGGAAAAGCTGGACCAGACTGTTCTTGGAGTTGGGAATGGGGGAAAACCCGGACCGGATTTCAGCCGGAGTCGGCAATGGGGGAAAACCCAGACTGGATTTCGGCCGGAGTCGGCAATGGGGGAAAACCCAGACTGGATTTCGGCCGGAGTCGGCAATGGGGGAAAACCCGGACTGGATTTCGGCCGGAGTCGGCAATGGGGGAAAACCCGGACTGGACTTTTCTAGGAGTCCAGAATGGGGACCCAGACCA